GAGCTCTGCTATTCAGCCAGTTCTCAATCCACCTCACTGTCCACTCATCTATCCCACACTTCCTAAGCTTACCTATGAGGATGTTACCGGAGACAGTATCAAAAGCCTTGCTAAAGTTGAGGTAGACAACGTCCACTGCTCTCCCCACATCCACCCATCCAGTCATGCCATCATAGAAGGTTATCAGATTGGCCAAGCATGATTTACCCTCGGTGAATCCATGTTGACCACTCCTATAACCTTCTTTTCCTCTACATGCTTAGAGATAACCTCCAGGACGAGCTGTTCCATCAGCTTTCCAGGGACGGAGGTGAGGCTGACTGGCTTGTAGTTTCTGGAGTCCTCCTTCTTGCCCTTTTGAAGACTGGCGGGACATTAGCTTTCCTCCAGTCCTCAGGCACCTCTCCTGTTTTCCATGACCTTTCAAAGATGATGGAAAGTGGCATACAGGAGGGGTTTGGCCTGTTCTTTCCGGCCCCTGGAACAACAGAAGGGGAGGTGTAGGAGAGGCTGAAAACTTTGTCGATCTGTGTTTTAGTGCTTTGTCTTACTGCGAGTGCAGCAACAGGGAGGGAGAGCAGGGTTTGTGAGGGGACCTGAGGAGGGACGTTGAAAAACTTACAGCAAAGGAAAGTTGCAAAGAGACAAATAAGTTAAGAAACTAAAAGAAGAAAAGGAAAGTTAGACATGACAAAACCAGAAAAAAAAAAGTGGGCTTGACCACGGCTTGGGAAGGAACCCAAGTGTAAGATCATGCTCAGGGCAGGGCCGCATCCAGTTGAGGTTTGAGCATCTCCAAGGGTATTCAAACTGGGCTTTCACATCCCCTCCTGGGCAACCTGTCCCAGTGCTTCACCCCCCGCCTTGCTAGGAAGAGGGTTTTTCTCTATGTCTGATGAGAATTTCCCTTCTCACAACTTGCAGCTGCTGCCTCTTGGGCTTCAGTTGTACTCCTCTGAGGAGACTCTGGGCCCAGCCCTCCCCGTGCAGCCTCGCGGGCCCCAGCACGGGGCAGTAATGGCCTCGCTCGACTGGGCAGCCCCCTTGCTGACTCCCACTCCATGTGCAGCCTCCTAATCGCATCAGTATTAGGACAATAAACACAATGTATTGGCCCAGCAATGACCACCCCCAACTGGCCCATAAGGTACTGGTTGCTGCCCCGTAGCCCGGCAGCCCAGGCTTTCACCCACGTTGCAGTTCATCAGCCAGCCTGTACGGACCCATTTGTTCATGCAGGTGCTAAGGGAAAATGGGATGAAAGTGTCATTGGGTCAGGGTGGATAACAGTTGCCGTCCCCTTGTCCGCAGGGAATAATCACTTCTCTTGAACATATAAGCACCTCTCTGTTTTTATATTTTTTTGCCTTCTGTTTGTGTTATGGACTTGTAAATGTAGACTGATAAGATACGGTTATGAGTCATATCAGGACTTAGGAGGCAACTTTCTTCAGCCATTTGCATTAAACCTTTTCTGTTTGTTTTTTTTTTTAAAAAAACTACTTTGTGCAAACAAACTGAAGGTACTTTGTACATGCTAAGTACAAATAAAAGGACAGCGCTCCTGAAGTTGAGGGCCTCCTCGTGACTTCTGTTCTAAATCTTAACTTTATTTCCTAAATCAAACAAACCATGAGATAAAAGGAGTCCCATGAACAAGAGTCCCATTGCGACACAAGGCACACCAGCCACTGCCTTTGGTGGGAACCAGAGGTGCGATGAAAACTGCCTGAGGGCAGAAGTATGGGGTGAGCACTAACGGGGTGATGTCACGGCTCTGCTATCAAAGCTGCTTGTGTTTAATCAGGAGCAGGTAGGAGTGCCAAAACTCAGGTGGGAAGATTCTGTCCAAAAAGCACTGGATGGAGAAGAAACAGAACTGTAGAGTCAGAAGGGAGATTTGAGATGCAAGGCCACCTCCATCTAGATAACAAGTATCAGTAATCACAGGTTAAGCTGTAATTGTCTAGGAAATGGCATAAGAAACGCCAAAGTTGGGTGTGGATGTAATAGATTTGGGATCAATGAGGAAAAGGAATTAGGGGTGAGTTAGTTATTTGGGGGGAGTTTGGGCAGAGGAAAGGAGATGCCAGGGTGGTGAAAAGGTGGGTTCAAGAAAAGGAAAAAATGGGGAGTAAGATATAAAATGAACGAGGGCAAGAAATGGGAGCATCTTGTGAGAGGAGGAGTGCGGCTGCCTCCAGGCACTGGTGAGGCTGTCCTGTGGGCCCAAGCTCCCCGGGATGCTGGGGGCAACCTCTATGGACAACCCACCACACTCTCCACCAAGTCTATGTCTGAAATAAAGTGCAGGAGGGGGAGTAAGAAGAGATAAACTCGTAAGGAAGGATAGACTTGTACCTTAATACTCAGTGCAGGAGGCAAGGCAGCAGAATTGCAATTTACTAGCACTTACTAGTGATTTTTCAGTTTTCTTTATAATAATTTAACCAATATATTAACTTAACTACTGTATCAATACTAATAGTAAGCAATGGAATTGTAACTCGGTATTACTTTGAAGTGATATAATTGTGAAGTAATATTTCTAATAATAGTGGTGTTTTTATTAGCCAATTAAAGTATTAGGTTGGTTTTTTTTTTAAAGATGTGCTGCCTAATCAATAAACATTATAATCACCCTAACCATCTATGTCTCAAGCCTCCAAACTAACAGGGAGAGGTGAACTTAGGGATAACAAGTACAGTAGCAAGACAGGAGACAAACTGATCTCTTTTTTCAGAAGGCTTTGTTAGCAATTTTTAAAAATATTATTTGCCTGATGCTTTTGATACTAATCCACGGATAAGAAGATACGGTTACTATCTTGACAATCTCAGAAAGTTCTCTTTCCAAAGTAGCTGGAGACTTTCCTAGTATCGACACTACAGTGAAACGGGAGGGTGGAAGTGGAGGAGTGTGTGTTGATAACCCAATGCCTAATTTTCATATCTTCTTAAAGGCAGTTGCTTGATAGACACTGGATCAGGTGAACTCTTGCTTAAAAAACAATAAATAAATAAAAAATCCCAGGTTCGTACCGGACAGCCAGTTTAAAAAAAAAAAAAAAAGGTGGTGTTCAGAGGGAAAATGGAGAATTGCTTGTTGTCAGCCTGATGCTTCTTGATACCTGTCAATCTAGAAATAGTTATAAGTGATTCATGTTTAAGCACTCCTGTCTTTATGGAAAGGAAAAAGCTATCAAGCCGAACTTCCGTCATTTCAGGTGTTGTCATTCTAGTTATCTATTTTGTACTATTGCCTAATGCTGACAGACAGTCCGTAAAACAGTTCAGAAACTGCTGCATACTGAGAGCATCGATCTTTATGTATTTTTATGGCATTTCACTACGATCCATAAAACAGTTACGAAAAGCAGCATACATCAGGGCACGGGATCTTTATTGCCTCTTCTTCTGTCCCTTGGCCAATGGCAGCAGACCTGAGGAGAAGCACCACCATGCACGCCGCAAGGCTGCTCATGTGTACCCCAGCCATACGAGCTTCCCTAAATTCTCGCTATTATCTAGAGAAATTAATTTCTCTGAATAACAACTGTTCTAGAGTTCAAAGTTTTTACATTTCCAGGAAGAAATAATAGGAACGCACCCTTCATGAGAGGTACTGGCAGTCTGTGAAGAACAGAAGGTATGTAATTATGAAGGGACTATGACTGTGTCCCTGAGCTCTACCTTAAGAGAAGCTACTTAAAGCTCAGGTTACTCTATAACCACCTGGAACTGGCAGCAGCTCCTGTGTACACCAACTGACCAGGATATGGCCTGCAGCCATCACATTCATTTCACACAGGTCACTAAATGGCATTGGAAAGTAGCAGTTCCAACAGTGTACTTGCAGCAATGACAGAGCCTCTGTCTGGGCGTTTCTCTCAAGCCATGCGAGGCAGTTTTAAGATTGCGTGTGTTTTAGCTGCACGTTCAGGAGTCGCAATACTTGGGTACGGTTTGGCATGGGAAAGTAACAGGGTATAGCTATTGCTTATGGAGCAGCACTAATGCATTCTGGACAGGACAGATTCAGTAGAAAAATATAGTTCTATTTCAAGTTGCTTTTATGCTACCTCTGTTTCAGATGAAATAGTTCAGATGCATAACAAACTGGTGAGACAATGGAACAGGTCGCCCAGGGAAGTTGTGGATGCCCCATCCCTGGAGGTGTTCAAGGCCAGGTTGGATGGGGCTTTGAACAACCTGGTCTGGTGGGAGGTGTCCCTGCCCATGGCAGGGGGTTGGAACTAGATGATCTTTAAGGTCCCTTCCAGCTCTAACCATTCCATGATTCTATGAAAGTGATGGCAGTGAATATGGTAAAAGAAACCCATTTCCATGAATACTCAGTGTTGCCCACATGGCCCTAGACTACAGTCTAGTGCTCAGAAAGCAGTAATCGGGAAAGTCTGATGTTACTGTGTTGGCCAACCAGTAAATATTAATGTAGTGCTTTGGTATCATTGAAGATGGTTACCCAGGTCCTGTGAGCATGCCATACTGAAATGAATGTCTGGGTTAGGCCCACCTCCCTCTACCCCCAAGTGTGGCTTATTAAACTAGAGCACAGCAGATATGCAGTTTCTGTAGGTAACCAAGAATTACCTACATTTGACTCTCCTCATTTCACAACCCACACTCCTACCCCTAAAAATACACATGCTTCACCCACAGAACCATTACCTCACAGCCTTTTATTTCCTCTTCTTTTTGGCTGAGTCTTCTAACCTACTTTAAAAAAAAAAAATAAAAAAAAATCCCCAGCACGCTGTTATCTCCGGTTATAGCACCAGGAAGGTGTGCTGGGGCCGCATTGGGCATGATGGAATTTGCCATGGGGAAACCCGCTGATGACAGTGGAACCCGCCCGCGTGTGAATTCCCGTGGCTCCCGACACCCCTTTATAAGCAGGTGGAGGTGCGGCAGGGCTGGCAGGACAAGCAGGCAGCAGCCGAGCACTCCACAGAGCACAGCTGCTGTAAGAGGTGGAAATGGCCAGCGTTATCAGCAAGAGCTTGGTACTGGTTTCCCTGTTGGGGCTCCTGGCGCTGCTCCTGTGCGGCACCTCCGACGGTGAGTGAGCGTGGGCATCCGGCCCCGGGAAGCGGTTCTCGGTGCTGCTCTGCAGTGCGCCTGCCATGCCGGGGTGCGTGTGCTGGCAGCAGGACGAGGGAGAGGTGGAAGGGAATTATTTCAGCACAGTACGCTGCCTAATTCTCCACTTCTGTTGATGGGGAGCTGGATAGCCGGAGGCTGACCAGTGATTACCCCAGGCAGCATGGCAGTGGGGTCCAAATGGGTTTTAACTTGGTCGTTTGCCTTCATTCCAGCACAAAGCAACCAGGACTGCTGCCTGTCTTACACCAAAGGGCGTCTGCCTCGATGGGCCCTAAAGGGTTATACTGAACAACTCTCCAGTGAAGTCTGCGATATCCATGCAATCATGTAAGTCACTTTTCAGAAGATACTCTGGTTTTTTTTTTTCTGACATGTATTAACCTTAGAATATCTGTTTGGGCAGAAACAATGATTTGAACATTATAACCGTGATTTTTCTTGCTTTTTCAAAATGTTAAATTAACTGAATAAATTGTATATAATACCTGTAAACAAAATACACCACCTGTAGTTGATGCAGGCTACTAACTCTCATAGGGCAATCATACAAAGTAAATAATAAATCTGACTGTTTAGGAATCAGCTGTGCAAAGACATGCTTCGTCTCCAGCTGAGGGCCACTCAGGCCAACACAGGGTCTTCCCTTGCCAAAACCTGTTAACAGACACATAAGAGACAAGACTTCTCGTAATTCACAGAGATTGGAATGTTTTTTCCATAAGGTTTAAGCCCTCCTAAATGTTGATCTGTCACCTTAGCTTGACAGCAACTATTCTCCTTAGTCTCACAAATTATTTCTGGTATCCAGCGAAGTTCTTTGTCTCAATAGTTCCAATAAATTGAACACAACTTTACAGTGAACAAAATAATCCCTGAGACTGAAGCAGCTATTACGGTGTGATTTCACTAGGGATTTCTTTTTGTTCATATAGTATCGGAGGGATTGTGGAGCATCCCCTATTTAAGTGGCATTTACAAAAGCAGTTGCTATTGTTTATTATATAGAGCAACTACGATGCCTGTTTTTGACCAAATGCATCTTCATCGTATTCACTAGCAGGGATTTCTGATGATTTACAGATCTCTTTATCATTATTTCTTTTCCAGTTTCCACACCTACGGTGGACTGAACGCCTGTGTAAATCCTAAGGAAGGCTGGGTGAAGAAGCATCTTCTTTTCCTGAGGTAGGGATCTAAAAATCTAAATACTACTGGGCTGATGAAAACAGAGAATGTATGAAAGCCCATTTCTTACATGTCATGAACACCACTTCTGACAGGAATGCCAAACACACTTGTCTTTCCATCTCCTGTCAGAGATGGCTACTCCTTTTTAGAGTCTTTCAGGGACAGTCATGTCACATGTCCCTTTTTCTACCTGAGCTATTCTCTCAGGAGGCACTACATCTTGGAGAGAGAAACCTATAATTTGCCTATGGCTGAGGTCATTATTTATGTGTGTTCTCTCATTCTTTTAACAGCCATAAGCTCAAGAAGATGTCAATGTGATACGGTTTCCAGCAGGGAACTAAACACAGACGTGGCTGAAGAACCACAAGGTTCAACCTCAGTGGAGATCGTCGTCTTGTACACTGTTGTGTGCTTACTCATCACTATCTCTGGCTTCTTTGGAACCGTTGAACTTCTTGAGTTGATTCATATTGCATCGCTGTTTTGCTTGAATTAAGCATTTTGTTAACATTTCTATTTTTACTAATATGTGTATGTTACTAATAAGGACTACCTTAAGCTATTGTACAGACTATGAATTTTATTAAGTTTATTGCATGTTATTTTTGTTTTGTTCAGCAAGTGTAAAGCGGGTTATTTATTCTGTTTATTTTGTTACTTCTTTGGCCTGTCTTGTGCCAAAATGTTTCCTTTTAACTAATTAGCATTATAATACTTCTTGAACTATTGTTAAACAACATCTGCTTGTAGAAAAAATGGAAATTCGAATTTAAAAAAATAAATGTTCAAATCTGCACTCTCTGTGTGATATATTTATTTTTTTTCAGTTGGAAAAGGTGACTTCCCCTTGAAATGAATTCCTTTGCTTCAGCTCCAGCTGAAACAATTACACAAGTGTATTTGCACCTATTAAAGCCACTTTCCATCTTGCTCACTTTGTTTGCCCTATGGGTAGCTAAGAACTCCATAGGATAGAATTCCTTTGCCTCCCTCAGACAGCAGCTATATATGAAGCTTTTGCTTAACATGAAGACCTGTTCTTTGCCAAATTGCATCTTAATTGGACTTGAGGGAATTTCTCTTACCAGTTTCTCCATTTGTTCAAGAGAAACCTTATAAATATTGTTACAGGGCAAGCTTCCAGCTCATCCACTGAGAAGGATTATGATTATGGTAACACAGTTTGCTCTCAACTTAAAGGGCTCTCTCTAGAGGAGAAATTTGCAGTGCTTTCTTCCCCTGAATGTGCTTCCTATAGTACCCAATGACTTTTAGCGTAACGAGATTTTCGTCCATCTGTTGATGGAGGTCTGCCAACACTACTGCAGTACAAATGATGCCTGATAAAAGTAATGGGACATCATGGAGTAGGGAGGACATGGGTGCAGGTTAAACAGGAAAGGTTGCTTAGCTTTTAAGGTACTATCACATGGCCCACATGGCCTTCAAGGACGTGACCAAGTTGGCTGCTTAGGGGTAGTCCTCTCATTGTCCACACCAGAGTCTTGCAGATAAATCTATGCCTTGGCTTTTGGTACCTTTTAGTCATAGAAATAGAAGCATTAGTTTTAATTTAATTTAAACTTAAATGTAAAGGAATTTTGGTGTGCTTGACAGTGGAGCTGAGAGGTGTTGGCTTTTCTAAATGGCGTTCATGTGTGTAAGGCTGTTATCTTCTGGATTCAAAACTTGCTAGAACTTAAGCAATCTCCTTGTGGCTCTGGGAATCGACAATTCTCAGTGGGTAAGGCTCTGAAGGAACACGATTAATTGGCTTTGATTTCCATCAGGTGGATTCCATGTCCCTGATATTGAGGCTATCATGTAAGAAGCTATCGGCCGCCTAGGGAGGAGTAATTACCCAGCATGTTCTCTGGGGATTCCCATAGCTTCTGGGCTAACTGCAGGGCTCTGCCTCATACCTGCCAGCACTGGTCCGGGCTTCCGTTTGGGGTCAAAGAGCTCACAGGCTAAATCACACACCCACAAAATCATACGGACACAATGAATGGATTCATGCTAAAAGCATCAGAAGGTGAGGTTCCCCAAGCCTAACTGGGAATAAGTAGGCATTGGTGGAGATGTTAGGAAACAGAGATATGTATGAACTTGCTGCAGAAAAGCCTGGAGTCCAAGCTAGCAAACGCGAAGCAAGCGAGTAAAATACGAAAGTGAAGATCCATGTGAAATTCTGTGGGTGGCTCTTTGTATTCCCAGGTCGGGCCTGTTAAAAATTTTGTATTGCTTCTGCAACTCGTCCTTCCCCTTGTCAGCCATAGCTCCAATGCCACAAAACCCTAGATGCTTCATCCACTTGTGGGTTTTTGTTTTAGTTCCTCTTGTCCTGGTTGAATATTTTTTTATAACCAACCTCACTGTAGTTAAAAATAATAATTTGAAAATTGGTTTCTATGCTCAATAGCATAGATTGACAAGGTTGTTATGTTACTGGTAGGAAATTCCATGTAACAATAATGTCCCTCCATGCATTCCTGAGGATAAAAGCAGGTATTATAAGCGAGTGCTGTATCTCCAAAATCAGCAGATTTGAGGCCCATTCTTGTGAGTAACCCGAAGAGGCCAGTTCAGAGTTCTGACAGCTCTGAAAATCATGACCATTTCTAGGAAAACCTTAGTCCTGATTACTTTGGTGGGGCTGTTCTGCATTTGTGCAAGTAAGTTTTGTTTTCTTCTGTATCTTTTTCCCTCAGCTTCTAATTCAGCATGTGCAATGTTGTTGAATAATTTAATATGCAGTATTAGATGGTCATTTGGGGACTTTCTTTCCCTTAATGGAGTTTTAAAAAGAAAAAATAATTTTTTTCTTGCAAAATGCAAATGAGGCTTTTTATTACAGCTTGGATATCATTTGGATAAGAAGTGGGAGAGCATTCCCTTCAGTCTCAGTACAACTTCATACTTCACTTCCAAAGTTTCCTGCTCTTGCTGTATTGACCAGTCCTCAGTGATTCCTGTGCCTGCTGGAATCCTATTTGTGTGTGTCCTTTCTGGGGTGGTTTTTGGGGTGGTTTTTTTGTTGTTGTTTTTGGTTGGTTTTTTTTTTTAATTTTTGCTTCTTTTTTAATTCTTTTTCTTTCTTTTTTTTTTTTTTTTTTGTTTCCCTAAAGCAATCTCACACCATTCCCAGTCAGGACACTGCAGCATTCCATTACCTTGGGATCTTTGTCAGAAAATTTTTTCTTTTTTCTTTATGGACTCATAACTGTATTAGCTTATTTCTTAATGTTTTTTTTCTCCCACTCCAGCACAAAGCAACCATGACTGCTGCCTTTCTTACACAGAAAAAAGTGCCTCGTAGGGCTCTCATGGGTTACATGGAGCAGCTGTCAGTAGAAGTCTGTGAAAATAATCTATTGTGTAAGTTGCCAGTTTAAAGACATTCAGTAGTATGACCAATTTTGGTTAGTATTGCCTGATGCATGGATCTGGATCTGCTCCACTTCTGGATTTGGATCTGTTCTTGGCTATGGGGAAAATGTGTTTACATACTATACTTTCTTATATCTGTGTACAGTCCTGTGGAATTATCTACATAGAAAAAGGCATACAATGAGGAATGGCTCTTAGTACGCATTTTTATCTGCCACTGCACATTATGTGTTTAAAAATCAGTAGGTGTTAATGAGAGGTAGGAGAGATGTTGATAATAAAAATAACTTAGCATGGCATGGACAGTGATTTTTTTGTAAGGAATAGCAGACCTTTTGCTGTTAAAATATAAAACCTGCCACATCTCATCTGCCGGGCAAGTACTAACAAGTTATTTGTTGGATTACTGTTCAGTTGATGGTAGCTCCTAACAGTTGAAGACTTTTTTGTTCCTCAGCTCTTTTCTTTTTCCACCTTCCACACAAAGGGGGGTTGTAAGGCATGTGCAAATCCAAGAGACAAATGGGTGAAGGCCCTTCTAAGCCTGCAGTACGCATGTCTTCAAGTATATCTGAAAACCAAGCATTACTGGGTGCGCTTAGTGACAATGACACTTTTAGGTCTTTCATATGGGTGTTGATAATTGGTCAGTTGTTTTCAATAACCAATACCAACAAGCCCACATGTAACTGAACTCTGCTCCTGATGAACTGGAATGCATGGTTCAGCTGTAATTTTGTTGAGAAGTGAATCGGGGAACTTGTGAACCAAGAAGAGCTTTAGGCTTATGACACTGGCACTTCATTTTAGTGGCATACACCTAGCTGGATAAACACCATAACAATACAGATGATCAATTATAAAGAGCCTTCTGTATGCTGAGCTCAGCTGTGTTATGCCCTGGCAGTCTTAGTGCAAATACCAGGCTACAGGCAACATCCTTTGCCAAAATATGAATCATAAAATAAGTTTTGGTCTTCAGACTAAACCCAGTGCATTGTGTGTGCTATGTTTACTAAGCGATTATAGTTGTATGACTGTACATAAATGGAAAATTATGATCTGTGTTCCTATGATCTTGTGGTTGCTCCGTTCTGGGAGGTGCCAGCCTTAACTGTCTGGTGTTGCAGACCTAACTCTGTTAAAGGTTTTTTTTTTTAAATTGCTGCCTTTGTTCCTTCTGCATTATCAATTGCAGACAGCTTCCAGTCAAAGCTCACCAAGAGCTGCTGGTGTTGGAACATTTAAATACGGTATACAATAGATATGGTGTTGTGGCTGCTACTACGTATTAAGCATAGTGTATTGCTCATGTAGCTACTACCATAAATAAAACCAGGCACTTGTTTAATAGTCTTTTAGCTTCCTTGAATTTATAGCATTATTCAAAGATTATGCAATCACAAATACATATTTAATATAAAAGCATCAGGTGAAATTCAGAATACTACATGCATAAAAAGCAAATATGTCACAGGAGCAGCAGAGACTAAACTATTATTGTTAATTGTTATTATTACATTTGCAATGACATTTCTATAGTTTTGCTTATGCGACTTCAGTTATACCCCCAAAATGAAGGAACAATTTTATTTTATGCATCTGCATCTACATTCCCATGTTCCTGAAGTTTTGATACTCCCTAACGTTAAATTTAAAAGTCTACTAATATATTTTTTTTTTTACACTCTCTTTGTATCAAGGAGACAATCAATAGCCTGGGTTGAGATCCCCTGAAAAAACAGATGTGCTCTATATAGTGTCCATACACGGAATTGTGCTGGACATACTTAGAATGCATGTCCTATATTAGAGGGGTTTTATCTACCATCACAGCCACACAGCTGCACATACAAGAGTGAGGAAAAGAAGGATTGCACACAGCAGATTTTCCTAGACTAACAGTGCTGGCAAACGGATATGAAAAACTAAGGAGAAAGAGACACCCGACTCTCAGAAGAGGACTGATGTAAGTGGGAGTTGATTGTGTATGTTATGTTGTGTATATCTGTTCTGTGGATAAAAAGTCTCTATCTCAGGTTTTGTTAAATTTGGTTCCTTCCCAATTGTTAATATTCTTATTATTGGAGAAGTGTCCAAGGAATATGTGAGATGCAATCACTAAGGTTTTATAATTA